TGGAAACTAAAATAACAGATCCATGCTTGCTGCTGTTTTTGATTGAGGAGTTGATAATTATGCAGAATCAAAAAACATTTCAACAGATAAATAAACTGCTTGGCAGAACAGTAAAATGAATCTGTTGCACCTTATCCGAAGGGGGTTTAACAGCAACGTGGAGGTCAGGTGGCAGGTGACTTTACAGTGTTTTTTAAGGTCAAAGTGCAGAAAAGAGGCAAAAAGCAAAAAAAAATTTAAATCAGCTTATTGAAGCTGAACTTAAAAATGTGGGGCGGACCAACAGTTTAACAAATATGAATCTGTGTCCCTGGACTGGCTTCAAAAACAAGGACCAGAGAGACTCGGATCACAACACACACTATCTTAACGTAGCCATTAAAACATTTCTTTATGTATTTACTTTTAGTTGCAAAGAGGTTCTAGATTAGCGTCCATTTCTTTTCCAATCTTTTATTGTACCTGACAAAATTAATTTTATATGAAACTGTTGGTAACTATTACCTTTTTTAAATCTGCTGATTTTGTCTCCGTTTTATTTCGCTACCTTGTAAAGCACTTGGCAATCATCCTTGTTCCCCACCACATATGATTGTAAGTGACATCAACGTCAGACATTATACAGTGTAAAAAGATATTAACTTTTGTAACCAATAACATTAGGGCACAATACAGCTATACTACAGCTTATTTTGAACCATTCGTCATCATATGGTATACATGGCATTATTACAATGTAAAAAATGACCAGATTAAAGTTTAAACAGCGTGATCACAGGGTAGGTGTCGCTCCTCTGATCAGTTTCATTTACATTACTTGTACATCAAACTACACTTGTTTTAGGGTGATTATCAAATATGGTGATCATGCATTTGAGAAAATGTATGCGTGTGTAGGTGCTAGCGAGTCCTCACCCTGTTCAGCAGCAGTCATGTCCTGCTCCAGCTTTAGTTTCTTCTGTCCCAGCTGCAGTATGCAGTCCTCTATACTGCCCTTACTGATCAGCCTGATCACCTTCACAATCCTGATACACAAGAAAGTATGTTTGGTTCCTCAAGCCAATTAATACAATAATCGCAGTTCTGATGAGGTCTTAGAATAGCAATGA